AGGACAGAGACGGTACTCAGAATGAATTCTTACTGTCTTCATTGTCAAAATGATCACTACTAACCACCACCACTACCAACATCATCATCACTACTATCACCACCATTACCACCACCATCACCATAGTTACCATCATCATCAAACCCAAACCATCACCACTATCACCATCACCATAGTCACCATCATCACCACCACCATCACCGTTACCACCACAGTCACTATCACCACTACAATCATCATCACTACAACCACCATTTCATGGAAACTGAAGAAATACAACTGTCTCTTCATGCAAATGACATGAATTTCTATAAAGGAAATCTCACAGAATCTACAGAAAAAAAAGGAAAAAACTACTAGAAAAGTGAGTCTAGCATAATAAAAGTTTCTGATTAATATTAAAATGCCACATTAGTCAGCTATACATCAATAAATAGCTGAAATAACCAGTTAGAGAGCAAAAGGTTTATTTTTCACAAAGGGCTGGCTCCATTGTTTTGGTTTCACAGTCATCACGGTGAGACAGTATGGCAAAATCAAACCACTACCTCATAGCCAAAGAGCAAAGGAAAGAAAAAGAAGGGACAGGGTTCCACTGCCTTCTTCACAGGTGTACCCCCAATCACCTGAAGACCCAGTAGGCTCCTTTATTAAGTTTTTACTGTGTCTCAATGGTACCTTCTGGGGAACAAGTACTTACTACATGAACCCCTGGGAGACATGGTAAGAGCCAAACAACTATGACTATGCTTACCATCATCACCATCCCCACCTCCACCACCATTTTGCTGCCACAGCAGCATCATTACTACTATGCTGGTGTGACAGAAACACTTAGCATTCTCAGGCATGCTAAGCCTTCAAGACTGGTTTCTTTTCAGAATAACCAGACCCACAGAGGGTGCCTGCAGAGCTAGCGAGAAGTTAGGCTACAGAGCCCTGCCGGGATGCAGCAATCCCCAGGAGGAACCCTGGCAGTACTGCTCTTGGCTCCCTACCACACACCGTGGTCTTTCTTGCATTCCAGACATGATTTGGAAAGGGAGAGATTTTATTGACCTGAGGATGCCAAAGCCCAGCATCCTATAGTAAACCTGAATCCACAGCTAAGCAGAAGTTGGTACCCAGGACCAAGAGGTAAGGTGGGCCAGGGAGGAGGGGCTCATGGATAAGATACAGCATTCTGAGAATTTTGCAGCCCAGACTCTTAGGTGTGTGTACAGTATTCAGTTATGCTACACCCACAACAGGGCTGAGCTTTATGCACAGTAATGTCCTAAGTATATCATGAAGCTTCTCAGCCTCACTGAGCCCATTCTTTCATCACAATGGAACTGAGAGCCACGAGCAGAGGACCCCAGATCAGCAGCCTTCACTTTCCTGTCAGCCTAACTGACAAAGAAAACAGGCAAGGACCAGCGGTCCTGGAGGATGTTTAAAGCACAGGCTTGCTGTCATCCCCAAACTTCCACGGGCTCAAAACCACTGTGCTTTTCTGAATTTCCCAAGTCGTGTCAGGAATTTTTGTTTTGTATTGCTCATTGCGTTAAACTTCCACTTCAGAGATGGGAATATGTGCACTGAATTTCACAGTTTAATTTTTTTAAGTTTATTTTTATTTTATGTGTATGTGTAATGTCTGCATGTATGTCAGTGCACCCGTGTTGTGCAATGCCCATGAAGGTCAGAAGAGGACACTGGGTCCCCTGGAACTGGAGTTACAGAGGGCTGTTATCTGCCATGTGGTTTTCTACAAGAACAGTCAGTGCTCTTAACTGCTGAACCATCTCTCCAGCCCCTGAATTTCACATTTTAAGATCAACAGTGTTCTAGTGTTTTCTCTACCTACCAGAAGGGGGGTTGAGAGGGAAGAATGTTCCCCACCAAGGTGGAATGGGTACAGATATAAGCATTCTTTTGATGGGATTTTATCAAGACAAGATCCAAAAGCAAGACTCAGGCTGCTCCATGTAGGAACTGAGCGCTGACCTAAAACAGGAAACTTGTCTTAGAAGAAGAGCTGCTTGCAGGAAGGATGTGCCTGGCTCAGCTCTGTCCTGATGCTGGGCTCCCTCCTGTGTCCAATATCACTACTTAGGGTCAGCATCTCATTTGCAGCAGGCATCCATAAAGAAGGTCATTTCTGAATTTCAAAAAGATTCTTACAAGATGACCCAGATTGTTTATGTATGTTTTTATGATATCATTACAGTTCTAAAAGGACTGATTGACAAATAGCCCAAAGTGCCTATTAAGTACTTCTTTAAGTTTTTATGGTCTATAAGCAATATACAATGTATTTTACTAGTCTATTGTTGAAATAAGACAATCCTTTAATTTCAAGACTATTACTTTATATTAAAAGAAATGAATGATCTACCATTAAATTAAAATTTTCTGTTATTAAAGTAAGGGATTTCTTTAGTAATTTAATAAGTCAGTGTGAAGGTGGGAGCCACAAAGTAATCCTCTGCAAGCCCTGGCTGTACACCACTTTACTGCACCTGAAATCAGGGATTCATAAGGACTGAGAGGGCGTTGGGTGCCCTGGAACTGGAGTTACAGAGGGTTATCTACCATATGGGTGCTGGGATTCAAGCACACAGTCGTCTGAGCCTTGGAGTCCTTTGTCCACAGACACCAAATCTTCCAAATCTCAGGGAAGATTTTAATTCTAGAGAAAGATTTCTGATTTAATTTTTCCAAGTAACTGCTTTAAAAAACATTCTCTAAGTCAAGTGTTTTGTTTCCATTCAAACTATTTTTTTTGGTCTTTTTGAGTCAGGGTTTCCCTGTAGCCCCAGCTGGCCTGGAACTTGCTACGTAGACCAGGCTGGCCTTGAACTCCGAGAAAACTTAGGTTTCACTGAAAGCATTCAATTAAATAAGCTAATGTGTCTACAAGTTTTGGCCAGAATTGAATCCTTGGTCATTACTAATGTTTCTGTCACTGTGGTTGGGGTTGCACTAGCAGCTACATCACAGAGTCTGAGAACTGTACTGGGGAGACAGCTCCCCTCTTTCTACCTCCCAGCTGTGACACACAGCTACTGGCTACTCCAGCCTGCTAAGGCATCACGCCCTTTGCTCATTGCTGACCCCAGCACAGGAGAGGTGTTGTGGTCTGGCTTTCCTTCTTACTTCCCATCACCAGACACTAGGATAGAGCTACCTGTTCACAGATGGCGTGAACAGAAAGTCACAGCAGCCCTGTCCTTTACTGATGGCATGTCAGACAGCTGACAGTTCACATAGTCTGGGATCCACGCTGCAAGACCAGTTCCTGCCTGGAGGAGAGGGGGCCAGACCTCAACCACGCTGTACTCTTCCAAAGAGGGCAAAGACCACAGGTCCCTACCACGGGTCCATATGAAGTCAGGATGACATCACAAACTGATGCCTCCACAAACACGACGGTAAGGTGGGGACTGCCTCCGAAGCGAGGGTCTTTAGAAGATGAATTGAGTCATTTTGCCAGGACCCCAGAGCAATGCCCAGCACGTATGGTGGCTTCTGCTATCAGCATGACTAGCACATGGGTTAAGGGGATGCTCATGGAGTCACTGAGGAGCATGGCAAAGCACCCAGGGAAGGAAGGAGGAAATGCTGATGGCCTTTTTCTTGCATTATTGCTTTCATCCTACTAATAGAGGCAGAGGCAGTCCCTCAAAGGAGCCCGCTGCTGCCGTGTAGATGCATGCTCTCAAACATGGCTCCATCCTACCCTTCACCTCCTATGACCACTTTATCACCCTGGCACAGATACCTCACCTAAGCCAGTCTCCTCCAGGGATATTCCTGGGCAGATTTCAGACCAAGCCTTGTCCCCATGGTTATCATCTTCCAGACCCCTGCTCAAGATGTCCTGCCCTGTGCTGTGTCCTGGGGGTTGTTGAGCTTCTTTCAAAGGCAGTGACACCAGTTCTGAAGCCGCCTTGACTTTCAGGCTCCCTAACACAGGGGGCACCTGATAGTAACCTAATCTTAAAACAAGGCCCATCACATTGATGCAGCTGGCAGGTACCACTCCACAGACCTGGCACTGTCCACTGCCACCAACCTTCCCAGGCCTTGCAGCTAGGCAAGAAGGCCCTGCCCTGGTTCCCTATCTCCTGGTTTTAGAGTAGAAAGGCACACACAGACCTTCCTTCCTGTAGTTGGTCAACCCACATGCTTCAGGGTATGCACATAGATAGCCCTCACACCTGGCCTATCCCTCCCATTGGGCCTGGGCTTGTGACCTTGGTTCTGGGTAATAGTTCTCAACATCCAGGAACCTGGATCTGCTTCCTGTGAGCTTCTCTGGAGCCCTTCCATACTCTCCACCTTCTGTCCCACAAGTATGTCCCCCTCAGCCTTCCGGCACCAAATTTCTCTCCAATGCAAGAATCCCTCTGACTATTGCCACCCAAGAACAGTCTCTACACAATGCCTCGGTAACTAGACAATATATTTGTAAATAGGTCAGTTTATACACCTCGACTGTTTCATCAGATCTCTCTCTGTTCCCACAAGAATGACTCAAGTGCCCAACCATTCCTCTTCAGATGCCTGGCACTCTTCCAGAAGGAACATTCTTAAACTGAGAAAGGTTTCATTGCTAAGCATATTCTTCATATGAAAAAACTGAGACTCAGAGAACTTATGTATGGGTGAATCACACAGCTGGCAGGTGCAGAGAGACCATACATCAAGGTCATCTGGGCTCTCAAATGGCCTGCTGAACCTGCCAACAGATGTGATAAATGTATGAAATAAGACATGGTCATGTCCCTCCCTTCGGGGGGTACAATCCCTGCCCTCAGTTAACCATACAGACAAGTTTTGTACCCCAATCTTTCCACCCTCCAAATCTGCTATGAAGCTCCAAGAGTGGCAAGGTGCCACTAGGATCCTAGCTCACAGGACATAACATTAGAAACCTTCCATTGTGGGTTTCATCTAATCTAAACCCTCAGCTGGCTAACTTCCTACCTGACATCAGTATCCCATCCACTCACCTTGCCGTCCAGGGCTCCTGCCAGGGACCTCTGTGGGGTCAACCAGCCTGCCACCAGACCGGAGCCCACCTCCCATACCATCTTGACATAACGGGCCATTGGCCAAGACACCCAGGGCGTTCATGTGCGTGGGGATGGGCTCAAAGGTGGGATCCAGCTCCAAGATCAGCCTGTTAAGTTGCTCGATGGACTGGTCAATATCCAAAGTAGGGGAGCCTGGGGAGGGACTGGTGCTCAGCTCCAGATGGGCTCCATTCATGACTTTGTCATCTGGAAATCTGGGCTGGAGTCCTTTAGCAGGACATGGCTGCTGTGTGTCAGCAGGACTTGGCCCATTGCTGATACCTCTCTGGACAGCCACTCTGCTGCTGGTCCCACGAGTGGGAGTGATTGGGATGCGGGGCTGAGGCTGGGGCTGGACAAGGCCAGCACTGTCCACTGCACTGCGGCCACCCAACCTGGTGTCCCCATCTGTGGCAAAGCTGTACTGGTGAGCGGCCACCATCTGTTGCTGTCGCACCCAGGTCTGAGTGGAATAGCTGCTCTGTCCATAGGCCTGCATGGGGGTGGACCCAGAGGGCTTCCTCAGCAGAGGCTGCTTTGGCTCACGACCTCCACACACACGCTCCCGCTCATAGAGAGAGTCCACACCAAGGCCCAGGTCCGGAGAAAGGGCACTATGAGGATCGTCACCCACACTGTTGCCAAAGCCGTCAGACAGGAGAGAGTTCTGGCTGCTCTTGTGGCAGATGAAGGGGCCCAGGTGGGCTGACTGTGGCCCTTCAGAGGAGGAGAGCGTGCCCAGGCTGTCCACGCTGTGCAGGTCATGGTGAGGCATCTCATCATCCAGAATGTCAGTCTCCCGGTCCTTTAGGGCAGCATCTCCATTCACATGGACCTGGGCTGGCACCACATGGCGCGTCCCACTGTACTTGCTCTGTACATCAGTCATGTCCTTGTGGGAGCTCCCAGAATCTTCCAGGCCAAATCCACTGAGCAGCTGATCCAATTCAGCCTTCTCCTGAGGGCTCAGGCCCCTGTGTACTCCTGGGGTTGGGCGCTCTTCTGTTTTATCAGTCCTGGCTGAGGCGGTAGAGTGACCGGAGTCGCTGCTGACTGACAGGGTGTGGTCACCGTGGTCTGGACTGCTGGTAGCTGGCATGCCCTGAGAACTGCTAGGGATGCCAGGATCTGAGGAGCTCTTCTTCCTCACCTTTGCATAAAGGCTGCCGTCCACTGGGCCCTGTGTGTGTAGCACTGCAGGGAAAACAGGAGATAGGCTATAAGCCATGAGGGAAAGGGGGTACCACCTGCCACAGTGCATACACACACTTATTTAAACAGAAGGATGAATTTACAATGCAACAACAGTAAACAGGGGCAGACCCCTCTAGGACCCTGAGTTCCACATATCCTCTGCAGAGTGAATGTGAATGAAAAAGATTCATATAATCAAACGTCTTCAGCTATTAAAATCATTTCTGCCTTTCTTGATTTGTTTTGCTTTGTTTGTGGTGCTGAGGCTGGAACCCAGGATTGCATACATGTTAAGCACCCAGCTTCATGTGCACCTACTTGTGTAGGGGTCACACCACACACACACACACACACACACACACACACACACACACGCATGCACACACACACACACACACCTTTATGTAGAAGTTTTATAATTTTTCACTCTTTGATTCATTAATGTCCCTATTTTGAGTGGAGCTCAGCTCAGCCCATCAATCCCGCAAGAATCAGCTGTTCATCTACAATAATGAACTTCCACCATACAGCTAACATTTGTTGAGCACTCAGGGTAACAAGCTGTCCTTAAATTAAGTACCACATTAGTAAGCCTGCTGCCTTATTAACATTCTAGGATCTGCTAAAATCTAAAGATGGTGCTCAATGGAAAGGGATGGTACAGGGATGGAATGGGACCTTCCAATACAGTACAGCATCTTCAGGCAACACAGGTGCCTGATGACTGTCTGTGGGGGCCTCATGCACCTGGGAGCTGACTTGCATGGAATGTCAGGAAAACCACGTGGGCAGGAAGAGCTGGGCCCTCTGCTGCTGTTATTAATTAGAGCCTCGGAGGCTGCACTCAGAGACTCCAGAGCCACAATCTGCTGACTGGCAGCTCTAATTGCCTTGGCCACACAGGGTGCATCATAGCAAGAACCTCCTGAAATAATCCGGAATTCACAGTCAGCACATGTCTCCTGCAGGCCTCCTCCACCTTCCTGGACTCTCTGGGGTGTAGAATTGCAGGCATTCCACAGCAGAGGAGCTACAGATGGCTGGAAACCCATGCTGTATAGATACCTAGAAGTCAAGACAGAAGCCACCATCGCCTGCCTGGTGGTGGCTGAGCCTGCTCCTGCAGCAGCTCTGGAGAGAATTTCCCTGAGCATATGCCTCAGAGTCCCTGGTACAGCTGGACACCCAAGCCATACTCAGCAGCTGCTGGCTTTTCTGGAAGGAGTGGGATGGGCCTGAGAAGTATGGAGTGCCATGCCAAAAGCTTGCACAGCCATGAGAACACAGCCCTGAGAACATGCCTGGCCTGGGCTTCCTTCTCATGTCAAATATGCTCTGGAGGTGGTATGCAGAGAATAGGGGATAGAGATGGGGAACACTGGTGTACAGCACAGTGTGGAAAAGTCCAACCGCATCTGAAAGGATGACTTGGGGGAGGGAAGAGTTAGGACTAGAAATAATATACACAGGATGTAAATAGACCAGTTCTTCACAGAAAAGGCAAGTGGTGACATGCATGGATGCTGCATTGAGGTGTGGAGATGGTTTAAGGTGGGGACACCAACGACAGCTGCTGATGACTGAGCACCAGTACAGGACAGCAAGATGCCACAATTTGTCTAATCTTCACAGTCTGATAGAACTGTTGACCTTGATGTTACTGCTTGCTTAGGAAGAGCAGAAGTTCTAAGAGAGTAAATAACTTGCTCAAGGTCAATCAGCTATTAGGAGTAGGAGGAAGGCAGGCCTAGAATCCAGGCTCTAGAGCCCAGGTGCACCTGCTGTCGGACACCACTCACCTACACAGGCAGGAGCATATACACTTGAGGTTCCTTTGATGGCCCTGCCCAGAAGGAGTCACATAGTAAGTGATCCTAAGCCAGGTTTCAGATACAAATAGACTGAAAACACATGCTACATCCAACTTTGTGCAAATCAGACAGTAAGCCACATGCAAATGGCATCTCCATGAGTTCAAAGGTGTACAATGCAACCCTTGTGCAGAATTACTAGGGTTGTGTAAAAGAAATGCCCTTGAAAAATCTCCCACATCAGTCCATAGCTCGAGCTCAGGCTCTAACAACCAGTGAGTTTACCATGATCTTCAACTTCCCAACTATAAATCGTGGAATGGGGGAACACAGTTCTGTGTGGAAGTTGACCAAAGAGCTAAGGGCAGTGCTTGCACGAGCATCTTTATAGGCCCTGTGTAAACACCAGTTCTATCTGGCATCTCTTCAAGATGCTCTGTTGCAAGAAACTCAGTGATAGAGACCTGGTACACTTCCTCCTGATCCATACAGTGTAAGGAGACGGGCACGATGGGAGGATTCTGCTCTATGAAATCATAGAGACACACCCACACAACGTAACAGAGCACTGGATGGTTGTTAGTCCAGTCCCTGCGCTGGGCAGGCAGCCAGAACACAGATCACTGGCTCGCACAGCCAAGGGCAGGTGTCTGCTCATTACAGGGGCAGAGGCTATACCACTATGATATTTACAGCTTCCATAAAGTCTGAAGCATGACTTACCCCTAAATCTAAATTAAATGTCCCAACAACTTAAAAAGAAAAGGCAACATGAGAATGAGTTGTAAAAATATTCTTTGAGTTTTCTAATTTAAACTGAAATGTGGCCAAAAAGAGCTTGTGAAGGAATTCTAGGGCCAATTCTCCGGCTGTTGCCATGCTAAGAACCAATGCACAAAGAAGGACCCATAGTAAGAGCAAGACAGTCTTCTGGCTGGAAGCCATGAATCATCCTATTGTTATTTTTATTAGTAGCAGAAACTATTTTATTTTTAGTTATGTGTATATGTGTATGGGGGGAGGGTGCATGTGAGTGCAGAGACCAATAGAAGATGTCAGATTCCCTGGAGCCAGCATTACAGGGGGTTGTGAGTGCTGAGAACCAAATCCAGGTCCACTACAAGAGTAATATGTGCTCTGAATCTCTGAGCCATCTCTCCAGCCCCCAGTAACAGAAATCTTAAAATGATAGTAGATGTAGGAAAACCATACCATTTCTACCTTGTCTATGAGCCTGATCTCAGCCTGGTCCAATTCTGAGTCCTTGAGAGGATTTCATAAATCCTGACAGCTGACTGTGGACTACATCTCACAGGTGACTCCAGATACTGGGCAGAAAGGGGCCATCCAACCCAGTGAAGACCCTAAGACATGCTAGGCTTTCCTAAGCTTCTTGTGTCATGCATAGATAGCTTTCAACATCACCAAGTGCCCAAGAAATCTATAGGAAAAATGCACTAAGTAAATAGGGTAAGTCCCAAGAGAGACCTTCCAAGCTGGCATGCTCTTGTCAGAGGTGCTAGAGAATGCGAGAGCTCAGGAAGGCTGAAGAAGCTACCCTAGGGCATCAGACACTCAACTGTACCAACAGGGTCCTCAGGAAGGAGTGGAAGCAGCTCTGGTCCTCACTTGCCATCCTGTTTTCTGGCAAAGGACTCCCCTTGGCAAGAGGAGACACCAGAACCTCAGATCTAGATGCATGAGGTGCCTAAGCTTCCCTTTCATCTTGGAAGATGCGACCCCCACTCTGCCATTCCTCTGTGGATTTTTGGTCTTGATATTCAGATTGTTCCAGTTGCTGGCTCTTCGCTGATAAAATAATCATTCCTAGCTCTCAGTGAAGGTATGAGAACTAGAAAGTACGTACATCAAGTATTCAGTCCACTGAGCCCTAAGAAGGGCACCTGTAAGCACTATTAAAAGTCCTGCAGTGGGCCAGGTGTGGTGGCACACACCTTTGATTCTGGCACTCAGGAGACAAAGACAGGCAAATTTCTGTGAGTTCAAGGCCAGACTGGTCTACATAGGGAGTTCCAGGCCAGCCCCGATTCCTCACTGCTCACCCTGCTGCTCCCTGTTGCTGAGGCGCATCTGCAGGAGGGCCTTTGCTGCCACTGCTCACGCCTCCTGGCTCCCCGCCCTCTCATCATGGGCTTCCAGGCTGGGTTTTTTCCCACAGCAGACTTCAACGCTTCCCACATATCCTGTGCTGCTCAGCTCTGAGGCAGGGGGTTTGCTCTGTTTTGCTCACGCTGGTACTCTGGCACAAGAGAACAGCCCTGGCACCCAGTGGTATTAGTAATGCAAAAATTAACTGTTCCCAGCTTATTCTCATATGACAAGACCTAAGTCACCATACATTAACAACCAAGGAAGGTCTGAAGGCAGAGGTACCCAGCAGTCCTTGGCCAACTGTAGCCCCAGTCCCCTACACTCTAGACAAGTAGTCCCTTCCGTGCAGCATACCAGGTCTGACTGTCCATGCAAGGCAGGAGCAGGGCTGGTAGTCAGTCACTCCTCACTCTTGGTTGACCTTCACATGACACAGAACAAAAGTGAAAAAGCACCTGAAGTCGCCCAATCTCGAAGCTCCAAAATTTTAAAGAAAACCCAAGTTCCTAAAGGTTAGTTCAATGTGCCCACAGAGTAAGAGGCAGTGGACAAAGATGTGAGGATATGTGGATGTGTGGATGTGTGGTGGCTCTCTGGCCAGCGTGCTCTGTATCAGGTTGAAGGAGATGAAGAAGACAGACTGCAGGACAGTACGTGAAGAATAAACAGCGCCATGCCCTCTGCCATTTCCTCTTGCCACCTGTGAGGTGGATGTTCCTTGCTGAGGCCCACACATATGAGCAGTAGGGCTGGGGTACAGTTCTTTCTGCTGCTAAGTCATGTGGGCAATGATGGCTACCTCACCTGAATGCTGAAGCGTCTAAGACCTGGAACAAAAAGAAACCTGTGCCAAGAACAACACAAAGAGCACACGAGCTAGAAACGAAACCTAACTATGAGCACCAGGACAGGACATCGTATGGCCGGTTACAATCTTGCCACCGAAATCAAACAGAAGCCCAGATCCCACTGCTGGAACCTCCAGAAGCCCTGGCTAAGCACTGAAGGCCACCCCTTGTTCTAATGGTAAACAGCCCCTTATGATGTGGCTCTGGTTCAGAAAAGTGGTGCAGAAGG